AAGCAAAAGCAAAGCAAAAGTCCCAGAAGGCACGGGCATCCACCACGAATCGAAAATAGATTAATACAAATAATAATCTTATGGGCGCTCAATGAGCCACAAACGTCCAAACTAATGAGCTACTAACATTACTACAGAGGAAGATTTTTCTCTTTTATTTGGCAATTTTATTTGAACCATGGAGCTCTTTAGCACTGGATGAAGAAGCTGTTCCATCCAAAGCCCGAGCAGTCCTGTACAGAGGCACTAAACCGTGTCTGCGCCACACCTTGGCAGTTTGCCGTGTTGTAGGCCGCAGCAGTCTGGCCCTGGTACCCAAAGCTGTAGCCGCCGTGCTGCGAGGCTCCAACATTGGTGCATCCACAAGCACTGTAGCGCACCCGCTGATTGTTACACCCGGGCCCTGCCCAAGTATCGAAGTAGCTTGCATTGGCCGTGATCATTGATCCCAAGACAATGACCGCCACAAGAACGAGCACCATTTTTCCTGCCATTGTCACGCAAACACAAAGCTATGCTATGATCGTCAATCAAATGAAAACTCTCTCAAGGAAGATCCAATGAACATCTAAGAGCACACAACAGTGAGATTTATACACCACCTCTTGCACGCGCCAAACAGTCAAGGGTCATCTTTTGCATGCGCAGTCAATGACGTGCACAAGCCCTAAAATATTATCATTATTGAAAACCTAATTGTACGTAGGAAAAAATGGTGGAAAAGGCCGCTTTCCATTGGCAGGCCAGCGCCGAGCATTTATTCGCGATCAGCCAGGACAGAAGGTGTGTGATTAAAAAGGAGAGGGAGTGTTAGAGCCACGTGGTGTACAGCCAGCTGGCTTTTGTTTTGGTCTCGTCCTGGAGTTTTCTTCTGGAATATATGGTCAAAGACAACCTTACAGGTGAATGGTAAATCAAGACATTGATAGTTTTCTCAATTTCTTGTTACAAAATATCAGCAACAACATCCTGCTCCTGCATTTGCATAAAGAGCTTGGAAGCCACCTCCGGATCGCCGATCTCGAAACGTCTAAGGATCATAGAAGTCCGCGAGGTGACATTCCTGTGAGGCATTTCTTGGAAGAGCTGCCAAGCCACCCCAGCCCCCCACCGCACTTGAAATACAAGTCCATCAAAATATTCTCCAGCAAGATCGATGGAGAAAGCGCCGAGCTGCCGACCTCTGCCGAACATCGTAGTGAATCCTCCTCCCGCTCCCAATATCTCTCGATCTGGCAACGCAATGTTTCAGCGCTGCGACAGTGGCTCCCATGCCCGGCGCCTGGCCGCTGCGCCGCTGCGAATCGTATGCTTGCAGCGCATTGCCGCATCCCTCGCGAGTGCAACATCGCATTCATGGCCACAAATTTCTTTTTGAAAAAGCTTATAACATAAAGCTTCTGATTACGTTTCAAAGTCAGAGTAATTTTGGATAAGAGTGTAATTGGGAGAGGCAGGTGTGGTGTGGAAAGGTCTTTGCCAATTTAGTCTGTTGAAAGCTCGAGCAATTTGTGTTCCTGTATAGTAAAACATGCCCATTTACTGTAGTATGCAAAAACCATTGGTACAGCCCAGTTGCTGCAAAGACACTAATAGAAATGTCGCAAACACCATTAGAAGAATTGCTAATGTATATGAATCTGACATTTTGCTTCAACATGTGAACTATCTTAAATTGGCAGAAAATAACTACAGAAAGCAAAAGCAAAGCAAAAGTTCCAGATGGCATGGGCATCCATCACGAATCTAAAATAGAATAATACAAATAATAATCTTATGGGCGCTCAATGAGCCACAAACGTCCAAACTAATGAGCTACTAACATTACTACAGAGGAAGATTTTTCTCTTTTATTTGGCAATTTTATTTGAACCATGGAGCTCTTTAGCACTGGATGAAGAAGCTGTTCCATCCAAAGCCCGAGCAGTCCCGTACAGAGGCACTAAACCGTGTCTGCGCCACACCTTGGCAGTTTGCCGTGTTGTAGGCCGCAGCAGTCTGGCCCGTGAGGCTCCAACATTGGTGCATCCACAAGCACTGTAGCGCTCCAGCCGATTGTTACACCCGGGCCCTGCCCAAGCATCGAAGTAGCTTGCATTGGCCGTGATCATCGATCCCACCACAGTGATGGCGACAAGAACGAGCACCATTTTTCCTGCCATTGTCACACAAACACAAAGCTATACTATGATCGTCAATCAAATGAAAACTCTTTCAAGGAAGATCTAATGAACATCTAAGAGCACACAACAGTGAGATTTATACACGAGGAGTCAGCTCTTGCATGCGCGCCACGAAACAGTCAAGGGTCAAAGGTGGTAAAAAAAATTCTAACCCTAAACAACGTGCACAAACCCTAAAATATATCTTTGGACGACAAAATATTTGGCTTTGGACGACAAGCATTATCATTATTGAAAACCTTTGGCGAATTGTACGTAGAAAAAAATGGTGGAAAAGGCCGCTTTCCAGCGCCGAGCATTATTCGCGATCAGCCAGGAGAGAAGGTGTGTGATTAAAAAGGAGAGGGAGAGAGAGAGAGAAAAGGGGGGCTCGTTCTGGATCCACATTTGGAGTGATCGCCTCTTTTGCCGAAAGCTACTCCTGGCATGATCCATTAGAAAAAAAAAATCTCTCCCTCACCTAATCGATGATAGCGAGCAAAGAATTGGAGCCTTCCTCTTTCTCCCTTGGGATTTTTCCTTTCTTAAATCCCAGCGATCGTTCAATCCTCCTTGATCCATTCAACTCAATCCTGAAGAATTCAATGCTAGCGCTCGCGATGCTCAGACATTTATCCCCAATGCTCGTCGCAATCTCCATCCTCGTTTTCCTCCCAATCGCTCTGGGCGGAGCTTCTTCCCGGATTGGCTTCGCGGAGGAGAAAGAGGTCCCGGTGTGGCCCAAGCCCCACTCACTCCTCGCCAGTGGCTCGGGGTCGC